AAAGAAAGTTAAAAATCCCTGAGGCAAAAGGTAGATGAAGAGAAACAGGTTAAGTGAAAAAAAAAAAAAAAAAAAACTAGCCAGAAATGAGCCTCAGCTGGGTTGAGCATTCATCACTAATAAGAAGTCTCTGGGCCATGATTTGGGAGCTAGTTGTTGATCCAAAAGAAAAAGCCTAGTAGAACCCCAGGGTTCAGTTACAGAACACATGCTTTTGTCCCATAGAGAGGTCCCCTATTTTAGTTTAATCCCAAAGAGTATCAAACGGTTAACTTCATTTGGCCTTGGACAAGCATTGAAGAACTTCCAGTTTATATACTTACTGAGAATTACTTTATTTTATGATGCTCAGAAGACATGTCCCTATTGAAATCACATCTTCTCCATCAACACATCCACCAACTGGGCCAGATCCCATCGCTCATCCCTACCCTGAATCTCTGAAGAAATTCCAGTAAACAACTGGTGGTATCAACCCAGGTTGTTCAAAATATTCCACTCATCACAGAAATTTCGATTGGACAACACACACTTACTGATTCATAGCAGCCAGCTCTGTGGCAGGCACAAGTTATGGCTTCTTACTGTGACTCTGGACTCCCAGGAAAGCACAGCAACACAGAGAAAGGGGTGTAAGCTGCACTGGAGTCAGATGTCCTGTGCCGATTTTATAATAAAATTCCAAAAGACTTCATTGGCTCCTAAACACTCGTCTTTAAGTGGGGATGATTGTCTCCATGGTCTGAGGAAATTTCTTAGCCGAATATGAAACTCAACTTCCTTTCCATCAAGCATCCTAACATCCTAGTCTTCTGGTCAGAACTATCTGCACATTACTCTGCTGGGCTTTTCCTATTTTCCTTCTTCCCACCACCCATATTTCTACTACACCTCACTTCTCAGCTAGTCCTCGTCTCGTCCACCCTGAGGTGAGACGTCATGCCTCCTCTTCTGCAGCAACACTGAACATTTTTACTTTAACTTATAAAACTGTTTATTTTGTGTGATTTCTCTCTAGCAATGACATTACTAATGCCATAAAATTATTGAGGTATTTGAAACTGTAAAATGTGATCCTTGCTTGTTCAACAAATATAAATTATTAACTATTGCATAAAACCTTAAAGTGCTCTTGAACTTAACAACTTATTAAGTCTCATGAGGACACTAAATTTTCGTTCATTGTGGAGTCAGGACAGCTTCGGTTGACTTCCCAGAAATCATGATAATTTGATACTCACGATGCTGATTAGCATTCTTACAGTATATAATATATGCAGTATATTTGTATGAGCTTATATTCATTGATTGCAAAGAGCTTTTTGTCTATTGCGATAAGAGGTTTTTTTTTTTTTACAACAACCCAATAAAGTTGCTGCTTTCATTGACCAATACTTTGTGGCTTTGTAAAGTAACTTGGAAGAGGTTAATTGCCTTACTCAGGAACACTAAAGTTTAGGCAACAGGCTTGTGGCCAAATCCTCTGTACTTCTCCACTACCCTGGGTTCCACCTTAACTTCTGCATTTTAGAGTGCTAACTTCCATCATTTATTAGGATTATTGTTTTCCTTGTTTAGAACCAGAGAGTGGCTCTAGTTTGGAAGGTAGGCAGATGGTCTCTCAAGAGCTCCTTGGTCTCCTCCTCTGCAAATTTCCTCCTTTGGAATTTGACATGAACCCACCAGTGAATAACCTACACTCCTGAGAAATACCCAAAGAAAAGGTTTTTTATTTTATTTTTTATTTTTTGCCAGTTATCACAAATCAAAAAAAAATTCTAAGTATAATCCCTGCTAAGGAAATAGAGTTGATTAGTAAGGGTAACTGTGAGTTCTGTTGACATTTTGCACACTGGTTTCTGACACAAAGCAAGTGCAGGAGCGGTCACACCCCCTCCCATCTTAGAGTCCAGGAGACCTTAAGAAGAAACAAGTCCTCAGGGCTGTGACCCATCTTACCCAGCACCTCCTGTGGGTCAGTAGAGTATGAGTGCTTGTGAGGGGGGAGAGGAGTGGCCCTCCCATGAGCACAGGTGGATCGGCTGCACTCTGAGGTTTCAGAGGCCATTGGAGGTAACTTCCGTTCTCTAGAGGCAATCTTGGGATACGTGATGGTACTCAGACAAGATCTATACAGCAGAGCGTAGGAGACGCAGCAGGGAACAATGGGGACTCCTTCCTTTCTCCACCATCAGGTCAAGGTCTCTGACCGACCAGCCCCATCCAGATCTCTGCTTTCTAACTGCTTGTTGGGCATCCACATGTGATACTAGATGCCAGAACATTGGTGATCCTGAAAACCCTCCCTGGGAAGGTAGCACTTTCTCAGCTCTGGCACTGGAAAAACAACTCTGTCTCAACCACAGAATATGAGTGTAATTTTACTAATGCCAATAAATAACTAAAACACCCAATTTTGAGTTTTATAAACTAAGTTGAAAGAAATAAAACTCAGAAATAGTATTAAATAAATTTAAAACTCAGGTTGTTTGGTATAGCAAACAAAGCAGGACAAAGAAAAATAGTAATCTTAAAGATTTGTAACATGTTACAAGGAGAAAATTTCCAGAATTTATGAACAACAGCCAAAGGTTAATAAGAGAAAATTTGGGTCTGGATGGATGACTCAGTGGTGAGGAGCATTTGGTGTTCTGGCATAGGACCCAGGTTCGGTTCCAGAACCCACATGATGAGTCATAGCTTTCTGTACCTCCAGTTCAAGGGGATCAGACTGTCTATTCCAGTCTCCATAGGCAACAGAAACACACATGCGCACACACACACACACACACACACACACACACGTACATGCAGGCAAATTACTTATAAAAGTAAGCAAATATTTTTCTTTTAAAAACTAAAAAGAATGTGCCAACCCCTCTCTCATTGAGCGTTTGACCATATACACATGCACACACTACTTTGGTATGTGTAAGTCTGCTATCAATTCATGTAAGCTAGTATGAGACTGAAATATCGATTTTTTTTTACCTATTAGGTTGGGACAAGGAAATATGAGAAAAGCATCGTAGTGCATGTATGAACCTGCACAAAGACCATAAAAAGTCTAGTAGGCTAAAAACTCATAAAGATCTGCCTCCTACCCCCCCCCCCCCCCCCCCCCCCCCCCCCCCCCCCCCCCCCCCCCCCCCCCCCCCCCCCCCCCCCCCCCACCACCCCCCCCCCCCCCCCCCCCCCCACCCACCCCCCCCCCCCCCCCCCCCCCCCCCCCGCAAAGCTCAACAAACCCAAAAGGCAAGTGGTCACATTGACTTCACAGACAGAAGATTCTGGTCCCTGCCTTCCCTGGTGTCCATATGAGCAGATATGTCTTTCTTCAAGCGAGAGAGAGAGCAGCTGCTGCTACCAGGATTTGGGGCATAACAGAGGTGGGAACGTGAAATGATAAGACATGAGAACGGCAAAGCAATTGAAATCTTGATTGCCTCACTTAAAACTTCTTCCTAAAGGTTGCCTTTCAGTGACTTGAGTTTCCCTGGGTCTTGAATGACCAGCACAGTGTTCTGTGCTGAACACTGCTGGGAAGGATGGAAAGTGAAAACGTCATAGCATTAATCATTACAATGAGCACGGTGGTGATTGGCAATACAAGTTAACTGAGCACTACTGCGGCCAACTCTGTGAGGATCAGGAAGACTGTGAGGGATGTGTCTGAAATTTAAGATGTGCAAAATTTTTGACTGAGAGATTAAGTCTACAAAGATATTGAAGAAGTATTGTGCCATTAGGCAATATGACTCTGTGAGTGTGTGTGTGTGTGCATGTAAAATAGTATTCTTTCCTCTTTGCTAGTTATTGCACAAGCTGTAAATGAAGGCATTTTAATAACTGAATAATATTTATCAACATGTGAATAAAAGCTAGCACTATTAACACTGGGATGCCATATGCTGACTAAAATTAGTAGAATGTCATGTATCTTTTTGCATATATATAGTGAGGAGAAATGGGTAAAAACACGTACAGAAGAGTGTTCATATCTGATCCGCACTGGCTTCTTAGCATAGAAGAATCTCGGGATTGGAAAGAAGGATATTAGCCGGGCGGTGTTGGCGCATGCCTTTAATCCCAGCACTGGGAAACAGAGGTAGACAGATCTCTGTGAGTTCAAGGCCAGCCTGGACTACAAGAGCTAGTTCCAGGACAGGCGTCAAAGCTACAGAGAAGCCCTGTCTCAGAAAAAAAGAAAAGAAAGAAAACAAGGAAAAAAGTACATCAACCTCCCTACATTTTGAGTGTTATTTCTTGTATGTAAGTTCAAATTTTCTAAAAGTTAGAAAATGCAGACTCTGAAACATGAGCCCAGAACATCATCTGGTGAATCCCAGATTGTGAGGAGGCATCTGGAATGCATTCTTTAGATGGGCTCAAGTCACACTGGGTCATTCAGAACACTGTTCTAGCTTCACTCTGACCAACTCTGTCCCTCGTCTCCTCTTGACCTCGATTCACCAGGACCAGCTTACTCTCTCCATAATAGTTCCAAAGGAAGGATTCACCAAATCTTCCTTCATGAAAGTATTAATACCCCAGAATCATTCAAAGAACCGAATTTCCAGTCCACAGATATGCAGGTCTGGTCCAGGGGTCTGCTCTTTTGGAAACCTGCAGGCTCAGGACACAAAACCCCTTGTTCTGCAAGGTTGCAAACTTGAAAAATGCCTGCCTCTTTTCTTTCTTGACCACAGAAAGGTAAATACTCAAGCAGATGGGAAACAGGAGAAGATAATAAGGCCCTTTCATCATCAGCAGCTGGAAGGGAGCACTGTCACTGAGCACACAGACCAACACCATGATGGCAGCTGTGAGAACACACGAACATCAAAGGACAACATCTTGAGGACGACAGTCTCTCCCAGTTCCCATCAGTGCGTGCCCTCTCTGTCTACAGGGCCTGTCTCAGCACCTTCTCATGACAGCCCTATAAATGCAGCCTGGCTCCTCAGTCCCTACACACTGGGCTCCTGCTCACCCTTAATTCAGGTGACTCTCAGCCATGAAGACACTAGTCCTCCTCTCTCTCCTTGCCCTGCTGGCCTTCCAAGCCCAGGCTGATCCTCTCCCAGAAGCAGCTGAGGAGACTAAAACTGATGAGCAGCCAGGGGTAGAGAACCAGGATGTGTCTATCTCCTTTGAGAGCCCAGAAGGCTCTACTATTAAAGATATAGGTGAGTGGTGGTGCCCATTTTAGGGGACTGGATTCTCTTGAGAGGGTTGAAGTTAGTTGTGCCCTGGAATCCTGCTGAGAGCCATGTGATTCAGGTCGGGGTCTCTATTCGTCCTCTAGAATCTTCACTGTCTTATTCATAGAAGTCACAGTGAGTCAAAAAAGTACAGTAGACCAGGCGGTGGTGGCGAACACCTTTAATCCCAGCACTTGGCAGGCAGAGGCAGGCGGATCTCTGGGAGTTCGACGACAGCCTAGTCTACAAGAGCTAGTTCCAGGACAGGCACCAAAGCTACAGAGAAACGCTGTCTCGAAAACCCAAAAAAAAAATAAAAAAAATAAAAGCACAGTAGATTTTCTTTATGTTTATTTAATCTAAAAATTTATCTGTAGGATTGTTTTAAAATATAGAACATATTGATTAGCCCTTTGTCTATCCAATTGATTATTTTCCTATTGCAAGAAAAATCTGCTTCATTTAAAAGAATAGATTTAGGAACCAAATGCCAGTGTATGGATGTGTTGGAGTAGGAAGACACTAAAAGTTGAAGGACTGTGAAATGAATTTCAAGTCGAATTGTGATCAACACATGTTAAATTCTTTCGCAGTGTTTGGAGTTGGTCACGGTGTAGGGTGTGATGTCACCAATGCAAACAAACCTGCTCTGTACCATGTATCATGCGTGTCGATAGTGTTGTGCACTATTGCACACTGCTGGCTACCATACTTACTGTCTGGTGTTCTCTGTTTCCTCAGCCTCAAGAAGGGTGAAATGCGCCTGTAGGAGAAAATTCTGCTGGTTTTTTGAACAAGTCTCTGGGATTTGCAACAAAGGTCCAGTGCTCTACATATTCTGCTGCCGCTGAGACCAGAGAGAATGTCACCATGTCTCCTGAGACCTCTCACCTGCCGTTACCCTCATACTTAGCCTCAATGGTTGTCCTCCAATAAATTTTCTTGCAGAAAACGAGTCTGTTTCTTTGATGCTTTCTATGTGACTTAGTCAGTACTCTGCCAATCTTCATAGCAGAATCGTCGATTCATCCCTTGTAAAAGAAGTCTTTTATGTAGCTACAGGTTAGCACTCACATCAAGGGTGAGCAGAGGGTAGGTTCAAAGTCACATCTCGGTGACTCTGCTCTAGCTCCTTCTCCTGTGTTTCAACTCTGCTGTCCTTTACACGGGACTCACCCTCAGAACCATGTCCCACATTCCCACAATCCCTTCTTCTATTGAAGGACACTTAGCTGTTTCCATTCTCCACTATTGTGAGCACAGCAGCAATGCACATGACTGACAAGTATCTGTGGAGCAGGATGCTGGGTCATTGGGCGTTTACCAAGGAGTAGTGCAGCTGTGCCATATGGAGATTTCCTCATGGTCTATGAGAAGTCTCCGCACTGGTTTCCATGGTTCCTGCACAAATTTGCATCCCACCACAGTGAATGAGGGCTCCCCTTTCCCTACACCCTCACCCACATTTGTTATCAGTTGTTTTCTTGATCTTAGCTGTTTCCTGGGATTAAAGGAAACCACTAAGTACTCTAACTGTAAGAGTAGACACTACACTTTAAGCATGCTTTTTAGCTATTTTTTATTAGTTCTTTGGATGTTTCTAATAACCCATTAACTTATTGGGAGAACACTCAGCTCTCCTCAAACTCTTCCCAGATCCACTCCCTTCCCTACATACCCAAGTTCTTTTTTTTTTTTAATCCATTTGAATGAATTCGTGTTGCCCATGTGTTTTGGATGTGAGGTTTCTCACATGCTAATTTACTAGGGGATGCACTCAGAGAGAGCCCTCCCCTCTCTAAGTAGCTAAGACATGGCAATACGAACCCTGCTAGGGCTGGGATTTTTGGACCCAGCTCCCATTTACCTGCTGAAATTAGGTCAGACTTGGGCTCACACAGTACAGTCATACCACCTTGAAGGTTCTTGATCTCATTTTGGGCATTTTTACATTTTGATTTCTTTTTTGCCAAACTCTCTGCTCAGATCCATAGATCATTTTTCAACTGAGTTATTTTATCAACTGTTTTAGTATTTTTAGCTCTTTGTATATGCTGGATAATAATCCTTATCAGATGTATAACTTGCAAAGGGTTTTTACCACATCATAATCTTCCTCTTTATTGATTATTATTATTATTATTAGTTTACAGAAGGTTTTTAGTTTTATAAAGTCCTATTGTCAGCTGTTGACCTAAGTGCTTAGCCCTGAACACATGGATATATAAGCAACATTAAATGGTCTCTGTTTTATATACTTGGGCATATATGTAATCATTTAAAAGTTGGCATATGTATATGTCAGTAATAATTATAGTAAAAGTGATAGTAAATTTTGGTGGGGACATCGGGGGAGTTGGAAGGTTGAAAGAGGGCCAGAGAAGTGGAGTAGATACAGTGTTGTTCATATACGTGGTACTTAGGAAAATGTTTAAAATGAATGTGAAATTTAAAATATTATATCCCACATGGCTTCTTTTTTGATTTGTTGCCCCTTATTCGCCTTTTGTTGTCTTATTGCTCCAGCTAGAACCTCAAGTACTATATTGAATAGATCAGGAGAGGGTGAACAACCTTGTCTTTTTCCTGATTTTAGTGGGATCACTTTAAATTTCTTTCTATTTATTTTGATGTTGGTAGTTAGTTTGCTGTATATTATATTGCCTTTATTATGTTTAGAAATGTCTCTTGTATTTCTTTTTGTTTCTCGAAGACCTTTATCATGAAGGGATGTTGTATTTTGTCAAAGGCTTTTTCATCATCCAATGAGATAATCGTGTGGTTTTTTTTTCAGTTTGTTTATATGGAGGATTACATTGACAGATTTTCATATGTTGAACCATCTCTGTGATAAAGCCGACTTGATCATGGTGGATGATGGTTCTGATTTGTTCTTGAATTCGATTTGCCAGTATTTTATTTAGTACTTTTGCATCAATGTTCATGAGTGAAATTGGTCTGTAATTCTCTTTCTTAGTAATGTCTTTCTGTGCTTTGGGTATTGGTAATTGTAGTCTCATAAAAAGAGTTTGGCAATGTTCCTTCGGTTTCTATTGTGTAGAACAATTTGAGGAGTATTGGTATTAGTTTTTTAAAAATCTTGTAGAATTCTGCACTAAAACCATCTGGTCCTGGGCTTCTTTTCCATTGGGAGACTTCTGTTGACTGTTTCTATTTCTTTAGCAGTTGTAAGTCTATTTAATTTGTTTATGGTTTTGATTTAATTTTGGTAAGTGATATTTATCAAGAAAATTGTCCATTTTCTTTAAGTTGTCAAGTTTTGTTGAGTATAGGTTTTTAAAATATGGCCTGGATTTCTCTGGATTTCATTCATGACTGTTGTTATGTCCCCCTTTTCATTTCTGACTTTGTTAATTTGGATATTCTCTCTCTATCCCTTTTGGTTAGTTTGAATAAATGTTTGTCTGTTTTATTGATTTTCTCAAAGAACTAACTCTTTGTCTCATTGATTCTTTGTATTGTTTTCTTTGTTTCTATATTGTTGATTCCGGCTATCAATTTGATTATTTCCTGCCATCTAGTTCTCTTGGATGAGTTTGCTTCTTTTTGTTCTAGAGTTTTCAAATGTTCTGTTACCTCACGGTTGTGGGATATTTAGTGCTAGGAACTTTCCTTTTAACACTGCTTTCATTGTGTCCCATAAATTTGGCTATGTTGTCTGGTCATTTTCATTGAATTTTAGGAAGTCTTTAATTTCTCCCTTTAATTTTTCCTTGACCCATTGATGATTCAGGTGAACATTGTTTAATTTCCATGTGTTTGTGGGCTTCTGGAATTAGTATTGCTTTTTTAATTGTTTAAGCTTTATTTTTCTCATTTACTATTTTTACATCTTCTGCACAAATATTTTTATCTGAATAAAAATAGAAAATAACTTTTTTGTGTAAAATTACAAAAAAAACAAAGGAATACCTACTTGTTATTATGGTGGTATAACTGTCTTTATTTAAAGTGTAAAAATGTATGCAAACATTCTCCTCTCTTCTATAAAAGACAGAATATTATTTTCTTGGGAATAAATGAAGTATTGAGATATCAACATTGTTGTAGTCTTTAGATTAGCGACATTAAGTCAGACACAGGTTTGTTTTGCAGTTACAAATTTTAAAACATTGTTGTGCTACCTCAAGGATACACAAGGTTCTTTACAAAAGGCAGTGGCATATATGGCAAGCACAGAAAATGACAGAACTTGACAAAAATACTTGGCAGTATACTCCTTAAAAAAAAAAGACGTTCAAGTATCACCTTTTACCTGGGAGAAAAATTAAAATAATTTTTCCAAATATATTTACAGGGATTGACACTGAAATGAATGTAATCAGTTAATGCATCATGTGAAGGATCAACCACACACAGCAATTCTGCCTACCTAGCTGGACTTTCCAAGGCCAGCACAAATGGTCACATTTCAGGCTAGGACATGTATAAAGCAATGTAAATATCACATTGAAAAATTGTTTTAAAACAAAAAGGTACATTTCATGATTCTTGAATTTACAAGGTACAAACGATGGTCAAGCCATCTTTAAATGAGGGTTCCTTTAGTTTGACTATCTTAAATCCTATGAAAAATCTGTAACAAAACTGAGTGAAGAATACCACAAATTAATATTTTCTTTCACAAGACAAGTTGTTTATAATAAAGACTAGCAAACTGTGACCTCATAAGGACATCAAATATTCTCTGTCTACGTGAAGCTTGAGTAAAGGAGAGACCCTCTCATTTCCTGAGTTAACGTGCTAAAAGGAAAGAGGGGGAATGAGCATCTTACCACTGAGAACTCTGCTCAAATTATCACCAAAACAAAATCTACCACACAAAGAAAACCTACAGAGTGCAGATTTTTGTTCTGTTTTGTTTTGAAAAGCATTTGAAAATGCTTAATTAGATTTTAGGGACCTAGAAATACAGATGTTTCTTTACTTAAAAACATACGTTTATACAAATGAAACTTTAAAGCCTATAATCGCTTTCTGTACCTCCAGTTCAAGGAGATCGGACTGTCTATCCCAGTCTCCATAGGCAACAGAAATACACATACACACACACACACACACACACACACACACACACACACGTACATGCAGGCAAATTACTTACAAAAGTAAGCAAATATTTTTCTTTTAAAAACTAAAATGAATGTACCAACCCCTCAGTCAGTGAGCGTTTGACCACATACACATGCACACACTACTTAGGCATGTGCACATCTGCTTTCAGTTTATGTAAGCTAGTATGATACTGAAATATCGATTTTTTTTCCATATTAGTTTGGGACAAGGAAATATGAGAAAAGCATCGTAGTGCATGTATGAACCTACACAAAGATCATAAAATGTCTAGTAGGCTACAAACTCATAGAGATCTGCTTTCTCCAACCCCCCCCCCCCACACACAAAACTCAACAAACCCAAAAGGCAAGTGGTCACACTGACTTCACAGATGGAGGATTCTGGTCCCTGCATTCCCTGGTTTCCATATGAGCAGATATGTCTTTCTTCAAGCGAGAGAGAGAGCAGCTGCTGCTACCAGGATTTGGGGCATAACAGAGGTGGGAACGTGAAATTATAAGACATGAGAACGGCAAAGCAATTGAAATCTTGATTGCCTCACTTAAAACTTCTTCCTAAAGGTTGCCTTTCAGTGACTTGAGTTTCCCTGGGTCTTGAATGACCGGCACAGTGTTCTGTGCTGAACACTGCTGGGAAGGATGGAAAGTGAAAACGTCATAGCATTAATCATTACAATGAGCACGGTGGTGATTGGCAATACAAGTTAACTGAGCTCTACTGCGGCCAACTCTGTGAGGATCAGGAAGACTGTGAGGGATGTGTCTGAAATTTAAGATGTGCAAAATTTTTGACTGAGAGATTAAGTCTACAAAGATATTGAAGAAGTA